AGGTGTACCTAACCCAAGCCATAGTATTTTCAGTCACCTCATGTGTATGTGAAAGGTGGACAATGAATAAGGAAGACTGAAGAAGAGTTGATGCTTTTGAGCTGTGGTGCTGGAGAAAAATACTAAAAGTCCTATAAACTGCCAAAAGAACTAACAGATCGGTCCTGGAAGAAGCGCAGCCAGAATGCTCCTTGGAAGTGAGAATGGCCAGAGTTCATCTGACCTACTTTGGTCACACTGTCAGAGTGGACCATTCTCTTGAGAAGGATGTCATGCTTGGTAAAGTGAAGGGTCAACGAAAAAGGGGAAGGCCCTCAATGGGATAGACTGATAGAGTGGTTGCAACGATGGGCTCAGATGTAGAAGGATCATGGAGTTGGCGCAGGACCTGGCGGTGTTTCGTTCTGCTGTGCACAGGGTCACTATGAGTCAGAGCTGACTCAATGGCACCTAACAACAACAACAACAATTGAAGAAGAACAACAAAGTAGGACGTCCTATACTCTCGGATCTCAAAACCTATTATACAACCACAGTAGTCAAAACAGCCTGGTACTGGTACAACCACAGGCACATAGACCAGTGGACAGAATTGAGAACCCAGAAACAGATCCATCGACCTATGGTCAGCTAATTTTTTACAAAGGGCTGAAATCCATTAAATGGGCAAGAGATGGTCTCTTTAACAAATGGTACTGGCAAAACTGGATATCCATTTGTAGAAAATGAAACAAGATCCATACCTCACATGATACACAATAACTAACTCCAGATGGATCAAAGACTTAAATGTGAAACCTAAAACTATAAAGTTCCTCAAGAAAAAAATAGGGGCAAACTTAGGGGCCCTAATTTACGGCATAAATAGACTGGCAAGCATAACCCAAAATGCACAAACAGCTGAAGATAAACTAGATGAATGGGACCTTCTAAAAATTAAATATGTATATGCTTCAAAAGACTTCTCTAAAAGAGTAAAAAGAGAACCTACAGGTTGGGAAAATATTTCAGCAATGACATATCTGACAAGGGACTTATCTCTAAAATTTATAGAAAACTCCAACACCTCAACAACAAAAAGATTAACAATCCAATTAATAAATGGGCAGAAGACATGAGTAGACTATTCACCAAAGATGATATTCAGGTGACTAGCAAATACATGAAGAAATGCTCATGATCATTAGCCATCAGAGAGATGCAAATCAAAACAAGAATGAGATATCTTCTCCCCCCAGCACTAAAGGCAAAGTTCAACAAGACAGAAAATAACAAATGCTGGCAAGGTAATGGAGAGATTGGGACTCTCATACACTGCTGGTGGGACTGTAAAATGATACAACCATTGTGGAAAGCAGTGTGGCGATTCCTTAAAAAGCTGGAATTAGAAATACCATTTCACCCAGCAATCCCATTACTAGGTATATATCCTAAAGAAGTAAGAGCCAGGACAAGAACAGATATATGCACACCCATGTCATCACGGCACTATTTACAATAGCATAAAAATGGAAACAATCTAGGTGCCCATCAACAGAAGAATGGGTAACCAAACTATGGTACACACACAGTGGAATACTATGCAACACTAAAGAATAATGTAGAATCTGCAAAACACTGCATAACGTAGATGAACTTAGAGGACATTATGCTGAGTGAAATAGGTCAATCACAGAAGGACAAATGTAGTATTAGTTCATTATTGTAAAAAGCCAAGGAAAAGTTTATATATGGAAGGAAACTTTCTTTATTGGTTACCAGGGGTGGGAGGGGAGGAGAGGGAACACTGCAAAAAAAAAAAAAATCATTGACCCATGTCACTTTAGTTTTGTGTATTTCACTGTACATAAACTATTGTTGTTGTTGTTGTTATGTGCCATTGAGTCAAATCTGACTCATAGCAACCACTCCTTGGGTTTCCGAGGCGATATCACTACGGAAGTAGATTGCCCCATCTTCCTTCCGAGGAGTGGCTAGTGGGTTTGAATCACCAGCCTTCTGGTTAGCAGCCAGGTGCCTTAGGCACTATGCTACCAGAGCTCCTATTTTAATAAAATGTATTTTAAAGAAGTGTAAAATGGCAAACAGTATGTACAGGTACTGTGGTAGAAATAATAATGTACCCCTCATGCAACAAAAGTCTACATCTTAATCCTTGTGAATGTTACGGGGTAAAGGGGAATTAAGGTTGCTAATCAACTGACCTGGAGATGCAGAGATTATCCTGGATTACCCCGGTGTACCCAGTATAACCACAAGGGTCAAGGGTCATTATGAGTGCAAAGAGGAAGCAGGAGAGTCCAGGGTCAGAGTGATGCAGTGTGAGAATACTCAACTGGCCACTGCTGGCTTTAAACATGGAGGGGGAGGGGGCCATCAGCCAAGTAGCCACCCTCTAAGCCAAAACCAAACTAAACTCACTGCTGTCACAGCGACCTCTCCTTGGGTTTCCAAGGGGGTATCTCTAGGGAAGTAGATTGCCCAGTCTTCCTTCTGAGGAGTGGCTGGTGAACCGCCGCCCTTTTGGTTCAAACTCACCAGCTACTCTTCAGAAGGAAGCCTGGGCAATCTACTTCTGTAGGGATACTGCCTCGGAAACCCAAAGAGGGGTCGCTATGAGTCGGAATCGACTGGACGGCAGTGAGGTTGGTTTGGTTTTGGTTTAGAGGGTGGCCACTTGGCTGATGGTCCCCTCCTTCCTCCATGTTTAAAGCCAGTAGTGGCCAGTGGAAATGACAAGAAAACAGTTTCTCCCCTAGTGTCTCTAGAAGGAATGCATCCCTACTGACACTTTGATTTTAGTCCAGTGAGACCCACTGTGATTTCTGACCTCCAGAACTGTAATATAATAAATTTGTGTTGTTCTAAGCCACCAAATTCATGGCAATTTGTTACAGAGCCATACAAACTAACACAGGTACCTTTCGTGTGAAGGAGGAAAAAAAAAAAAAGAAGGCAAAGAAAGGATATATGGTGGTATCTGACAGGATGCACAAAAACTAGAAATAGTGGATGCCTGTGTAGAGGTGAAATGATAGGGAGATTGGATGGATTTTTTTTTTCTTAAATTCTTTTGTGCCTTTTGAATTTCTTTATGTTGAGAATTATCACAGTCATCCCTCAGTAGCTGCAAGGGATTGGTTGGTTCCAGGACTTTCTCGACCACACACACACACACACACAGAACCAAAATCTGTGGGTGCTCAAGTCCCTTATATAAAATGGCTTATTTTTTTGCATATAGCACATCCTCCCGTGTACTGTAAATCACCTCTGTAGTTGTTATGTGCCGCGGAGTCGGCCCCGACTCATAGCGACCCCTCCTTGGGTTTCTGAGGCAGTATCACTACGGCAGTAGATCGCCCAACCTTCAGAGCTTCTATTAAATCATCTGTAGATCACTTATAATACCTACTACAAGGTCAATGCTATGTAAACAGCACTTCTCCCTCTTTCTTAGCCTTTGGGGAATTGCTTTGACCACTTAATTGCTCTGGGCAATCTACTTCTGTAAAGATGTACTGCCTCAGAAACGCAAAGGAGGTCGCTATGAGTGGAATCCACTCGATGTCAATAAGTGAGATTTTCCACCTGCGGTTGGTTGAATCCGTGGACGCAGACCCGCAGATAGGAGGGCCGGCCTACTGCACGTTTTTAAAAAAGTTAAGGGGGAGAAAAGTATTCATATAATGGAAAAATCGGGTTAAGAATTAATCTCACCAACAATTTGGGAATGAGCATAGAGCTATTCTGGACCATTTTTCACCTCAGCACATATTTCATTCAAATTTTGTAAACCCTGCGTCAATTCAGATGAGAACTTTTATTTATGAAGTCTGGTAATGAAAATGTGAAAGTCTTTGTCCCAGATTCAGTTGTTTTTTTTTTTTTTTTAAGGAAAACTAGGCATTAAATAGGAGCTCTGGTAGCATAGTGCCTAAGGCACTTGACTTCTAACCAAAAGGCTGGCGGTTCAAACCCACCTGCCACTCCTCGGAAAGAAGATGGGGCAATCTACTTCCGTAGTGATACCGCCTCGAAAACCCAAGGAGGGGTCGCTATGAGTCGGGTCCGACTGGATGGCACATAACAACAACAACAAGGCATTAAATGGTTTGTACTTAGATGTAAGGGGAAAAAAAAGCCCTAGCTTTACAAAAGGAAAACTGGTCTGAATAGAATGTTGCATGGAGATTTAGCCCAAGGGCCTAGGGGGAGGGGACGGACTTCGGAAATGAAGAACAGTGCAAAGACTTTCACCACAGCATTAGTTCAATACAAAGAAAAATGAGAGACAATTGATATGTATCTAAGATTAGGAAACTGGTTAAGTAAATTATAGTATATCTATCTGTATGATGAAATACAACTCAATCTGACAAATATGCTTGAAAAAAACCTTTTGTAACATGGGATATTACAAGAAGATGTAGGATTTTTTAAATGCACATTACCTATACTCTTCCCTATATTTTCTTAAGTCAGGATTGTTAGAGAATACACCAAAAAAGTTACTAGTGGCGTCCGAAGTACCGGCATTCTGAAGAATTTTTTCGTACTTCAGAATGCTTTTTAAACGTTACATAATGAGCGTGTGTTATGTTTACAATCAGGAAAAAATTTAAATTTGGGGGAGGGGAAATACATCACCAAGGCTAAAGCGACTACCAATGTTTATGTGAAAAGATACTGTAACATTCTGGAGTAGAATTCTACAGGCGTGGCTTAAAACCCCTGATTCCAGAGGCGTTTTAAACAACACAGATATACTTATCACCAGTTTACAAAGGTTGTGCAATAAAAAGCTGGAATAATGTCTAACCACATTCCTTCATCTGCGTTTCCCATCCTCGCCCAATTTCCAAAGAGGAACCGGATTGATCATGTGATCTGTTGAAATTTGAGCTAGCAGCACCTTCCTTTTACTCCAAAAAAAGACCTCTAAAAGCAATATTCCTGATATTCTTTGCCTTTCCAAATGCTTTTCCCTTAACGCCCACCCCTGGAACCAAGGTTCTCGCCCAGTCGATGGTGGAAGCATAAGCATGTGGACTTGGGTCCCTCTCCAGCTGCCAGCCGCTGGGTGGGTCCTGGAGGAGGAGTCTTTCGAAGAGCCCCACTCCGCATCAGGAGGCCAAAGAAAAGAGCGTGGCTGCGAGCCAAGCGCTCTGTCCGCGGGTCGGCGCTTCGGACGCCCGCACCGCACCCTAGCGCGGAGCTGGGTCCCCGGCCGCAGGGCCACGAGGACTGGCGCTTACCCGGCCTCCCAGAGGTCGCTGTCATGGTGACCGATGCCGCAGTCTGCGCAGGCGCTGAGCTCTTGGCGCCGCCGTTGACAGGTCACATGTGGCAAGAAAACTCGACTCAACAAGCGACAGTTCCCGAACACAGTGACAATCTCAGGGACCCTTCAGGGCGAGCGCTTCGGAAGTGGAGCCGGAAAGGGTCGGGAGCAGTGCGCAAGCGCAAAGGCTCTGGCTCGAGTTTAGCTGGCGCGCGCTGTCTCTACAGCTGGTGTCTGCAGTCCCGGTACTGGGAAATGTTCTTTTTGAAGGTGATGTTGATGTTGTTTGGTGTCTTGGAGTCGGTTTTGACTTACCATGTGGCAAAGTAGAACTACCCATAGGGTATAATCAGAAGCAAAAGGCAAGTAGAGTGGGCTGATTTTTGCTTTCTGAAGAAATCCACATTAAGGAGGGCAGGGTCAGAAGATGAAACCCCAAGATTCAAAGCAGTTACTGGTGTAGGTACTAATTTCCCAACAAAGCTGAATATGTTTTCCCTTTTTAATTTCATTAACATTTTAAGACATGAAGTCATTACCCCACAAAAATGACTGTTCCTGCACAAGGACACTGAATAATTTGAGGTTTGCCCTCTCCGTTCTCTCTAACAGTTTTCTCTCATAAAACTCTGCTAGCAACTTGATTCTCCCACCCACTGCCTCCTTGTCCTCCTCAAGCCCTTTCATTGGGTAGTCAAGCTGGTGAGGGAGGAGGGGGGGCGGAGACGGGCTTTGAATTTAAACTGATTTGAATTAGCAATTTGGCTCTGTCATTTTCTACTTTTGTGACTTTAAGGCAATTCAATCTGTCCTTAAACAAAGATAAGAACACATCACCTGATAGATAACAAATAGTAGCGATTCTTGCCCTACCCTTCACATTTTATTATGTTGTTGTTGTTATGTGCCGTGGAGTCGGCCCCGACTCATAGCGACCCCTCC